GAAAGCTTAGAAAGAACTCCCATGTGCTGAGAGTATTGGAGACACATTAAATATAATTCGAAATTACTTAGCTGAAAACTAATTATGCAAATCAGAAAATTAATATGACCAGATTTGAGTGTAAAACTAATGAGGTCTGCGCAATGTAACAGAACCAAAAAATTATGAATTATTATGCTTATTAGGGAATTAATATGAACAGATTTTTACCCCAAACTAATTAGGTTTGTACATTGTCCTAGAGCATCTTTGTACTAAGTTTCATTGAAATGGAATAATTAACACCGCGAAAACTCCAAAATTTCGACCCCTCTAAAAATTTGACCGCCTATTTATTTGCCGGGTTTCGGTGTTTTATTTACCTCCAAATTTTCGACTCCACTAAAAATTGCCGACTCATTCTTATTCGAAAATTGCGACCAGTTTTAGTTTTCCCCCAAACGAAAAAAAAACCGATGTGAGCGTTCAAACGGGACCTTCCTCAAAGGCATGAATCCGGGTTTCTGATTGACTGAGAGATTTTTATTTTATTGGTAACGAAAATATATTCTAAATAAACGAAGTTTCAAATAAAAACGAACACAAAAATCTCGGCATGCTGCGTTTCTGAATTGTTGATTATTACTGTACTCAGTAGTGATTATAATAATGTACACAAAATAAATTTGTTGAATGGTTATGAAATACAAATAAAAGTCAACTTAGTTTCATCGTAAGCGAATGATTCCGGTCTCGTATAAACGTTTGATGCTGTAGGATATCCGCCATGTTCTCTTAGGTCAAATAGGTCAAATCGCTAATTAACCAATCAAAAAGCTGGATGATGCGAAAACGGCATGATTTTTTTTAAATAAAAAAATTAGTTGTTTTTAAAAAATAAACTGGTCATCTGAAGAAGAATTTAACATTGTTCACAGTGATAACAGCTCATTCTCGAAAGGAAGCTTACCCGCTCACGCTAGTCACGATAAAAATCATACACGTGTACTCTTGAATAGACAG